AAAAAAAAAAAAAAAGTGATATACAGCCAGGGTAGTGCAATAAGCCAGTCATTAAAAGACAACATGATTCCACATATTATGAGGTATTCAAAATAGTAAAATTGATAGACAAAAAGCAAATGTTGGTATCAGTGGCTAAGGTAAACAAAAACAAGAAGTTTATTTTGACTTTTTTGAGACAAAGTCTCCCTAGACAGTTCAGGCTGGCCTGGAACCTCCTTTGTAGCCCAGGCTCACCTGGAATTTGATATCCACCTGGCTCAGCCTCCTGAGTGATGACGAGATTTCAGTTGCTTGCTATGAGGCACAGCTGGGAGTTTTGATTAGTGGGTGCACAGTTTCAGTTTGACAAAATAAAAAAGTTCTGGAGACAGATGGTAAGGATGGTCACTCAAAATATTAATATAAACGTGTGGTGGCACATGCCTGTAACACCAGTACTCCAGGACACTGAGGCAGGAGGACTGCAAATTCAAGCCCATCTTGGCCAACTGAGACCTTGTCTAAAAATCAAAACTACAAAGGGCTGGGGATATGAAGGCTCTGAATTAAATCCTCAGTATTGTCAAGGGGGAAAAAAGTGAATATACTCAATGACATACTATTTAACACTTAAAAGTGGTTAAAATAGGGATGGGTGCTGTGGCATGCATTTACAAAGGCAGAATGATCATAATTTTGTTACAAATATTTTACCACACACACAGCCACATACACACAAATCTCATTGGGGCATGGTGGCACACACTTCGTAATCCCAGCTATTTTGGAAGCTACAGCATGAGGATTACAAATACAAGACCAGACTGTGCATCTCAGCAAAACCCAGTCTTAAAATAGAATTAAATTTAAAAAGTGGGGCTGGTGATGTAGCTCAGTGGTACAGTGTTTGCTTAACATGTAGAGGTTCAACCCCTAGTTGCAGAAAACAAACAAATAGCCTGATAAAACTGGTAACTTTTGAAATACATAAATAATAACCAAGATATACACTGTCTGCACTAAACACTCTGTCTTCTCAAGAATGAGAATTCACAAGCAACAGCTGCCTGATTTACAACTTTTGAAATCGAAATTTGAAAACCTGACCCTGACTCCAAATCCCAATTATTACCAGTTCAGTGAATTGGTGATCACATTTAAAAATAAACACAATATTGAGCATTATACAGACCGTATAAATTTAGTGTGATGATTACTTGGAGGAAATGTTAACTTTTATGACTATCAAAGTGAGCCTCAAAAAAAAAAAAAAAGTGTTGGCCAAAAAATAAAAATATGCCTAAAAAGATAAGAAAAACAACAACCTGTAGAAACATGGTGTGGGCTGAGATATAAGTAATCCCCAGGATAAAGGGAAAGAAGCAGATGAAACTGAGAACCTGGTGAAGGATCAAGTCAAAAAGACAAGTTTCACTTAAAACACACACACACATGGGCTTTACAATGTAGACAAAGTGTGATCCTGGAAGTTTTCATGAGGGCCATTATGATTTGCTTTGAATATTACTGCCTGTTCTAGGAGTCGAAGAGAAAGTGGGTTTGAAGGTAGTACAACTGTAATCACTGAGGAAAGTGCCAACAATAGGTGGCTACAGACCTGGAGACCTAGCCCAGGGGCAAAGTGCCTGCTTAGAATGCCCAAAGCCCTGGGTGTCTCCAGCACCACAAAAAATTTAAAAGAAAAAGAAAAACATGGCAACAGTACAAGCTAAAAATGACAGGGGACTAAATCAAAATAGTAATAAATGTATTTAGTTGGGCAAGCTACTGAAACTTTGTGCTTGTCCATAAAAGGGAAATCATGCCAGTAGCACAAGATTATGCTTAAGACTAAATAAAAATAACATGTATAAAACCTGAGCTCTATGCCAGGCACACAGGAGTGGTTCAATAATCTTTATCCTACTTAACCACTTCAGTATTTGGTATTTAGTTTTATTGAAACTTATGAAAAAAGTACTTAAAATGTGAAGATGCCAACGGTCTTTTAGAAGATGTCTTTACAAGTCTACTTCAATACCTATCTTTGGGGATAAGGAAAAGATCTGATCAAACATTCAAGACAATTTTTAAAATGAAAACTTTAGCGAATGATGGCTTTTTTTTAAAGAACAAAAAGGCTGGTTTTGTTTACCTGTGAACCTACCAGTGACTTTAAGTATTAACACACTCTTCATTACTGATGTCCCCTAAATTCTATACTGCACAAATAGAATATTTCCAGAACCATTCTACTGTAAACTGCTGTGGCTTCGGAAGGGGTTGAATCATCATTTCTAAAGCATTGAATTCATGATTCTAAGTATCAAGAATTAAACTTGAGATTGTAAGTTATTCTTTCGATTCCCGTCATTCTTTGAAAATCTTTAAATCAATAAAGGAAGTATGACAGAGTAGAGTCAAGAGTGGTCAATGAATCACACATCCAGTCAAGTGAAGCTGCCACACACATTCTAGGTGTCATTTTAAACAAGACTAAGAAACTGTTAAGGTCCAGTAACTAGGTAAAAAAATATGACCTCTGACCAATACCATAGACGGCAAGCAAATGATCCCCGTCAAATGCCAACCAAACATAAACAACGCCCCTGAACGTTTGCATCCATCCACCTCTCAACGGGAACACTGCTTCTGATAAAGAAATTCAATACAACAGGTGAAGAATGAAAACGAAAAAACAAAAACACAGGTTTGCAAGCTTTCTCTGTTTAGAGAAAGGGGCGGCAGAGGCAAAGACATCAGGGAAAGGCCATGCGCGATGAAGGCTCACTTCACATCCCAGGTCCCTCCATCCTATCCTCCTTCCCTGCTCCCTTTCACGGCTACCGCCGAGAAGCCCACAGGAACCGCTCTGCACCTCCAGCCCGGTCCCAGCGCCCCGGGACACACCCTCATCTGTCCCAGAACACCGGGACGGCGACAGAAACTATACTGCAGAGTCACGACTCCGAGAGGCTTCCCCACCTCGGCTGCAGCCCGCGCCCGCCCGCCCGCCAGCCGGCCCTTGAGGAAAGCCCTCCCG